ATGCAAAAATAAAAACAGGTATTGGTATTTAATTTAATTTTATTTATTTACTTTTATAATTCTTAGTATTAGATTAAAATTTAAGTGACCAGAACCGATTACTTCCTCTATATATCTACAATAAAATACGAACACTTTCTAATAAAATTCCATTGTCCATTTGAAATGCATTAGAACTTCTAATGGGCAATGGGTCCTTTCTAAAAAAAAAATATACACATTAAATTTACATGAATTCTTATCTAAATAATCTGGAAATAAATAAAAATCTCTATCATTAATTTATTATTATTATTATTATTGTATCAAAGTAGGAAAGAAGTTCATTCATAAATAAAATTAGTCATGTAGATTATTAATAGAAAGGAAAAGGGATATTTCTGCTTCTAATTTCGAAATAAATAAAAATAAAATTATTATTAAGGAAACTTTTCATTTTTTAAAAACAAAAACAGATTTTTAAAAAATTTTAAGGTATTTTCCTAAACAGCAATTCTATAAATATGTGGAACATTAAACTCTTTATCTACGAGACATTATTTAAAAATACATTGTAAAAATGCCGAGTTGTATTTAAGAAGACTTTCTTCATATTAGTGATTAAAATAAACTGCCGGACAGCAGGGCCAATTTTATATGTTTATGGGCCCTACACAAACTGATAAATCCTGGCCATTTCTTTGGAATCTTTTAATAGTATTAAAAATTAATTTTTAAAAACTATCGGCTCCAAATAAGTGCTTGCCTGAATGGATATCCAGGCAATTATTTGGATACCCAAGGCGATAAAAATGTCAGGATTCGAAATCCTCAGAAATTTACGTAGTTTATAAGCTCATCACTACCCTTGCATCATATTGTTGGCCTGGTCGAGCACATAGTGGACATAATAAAAGGCCTCTTAGTGGTCTTCAGTTGGAAAGTCAATTTATGATACGAAAAGGTCACAAATCGGGATTCACTCCGTGATATTTTCATTACTTCGATCAAATTTTAGTAATGTCCTTTAAATAAAAGGTGAAATACCTTATGTTTATATAAAGATTTTAACTTAAATTTTATCAAGAATTATGGAACTTCCATATAATGAATCACTCAACGTTACTTAACAACTCTAGTATAAACATAACAATTAAAATGCAAAGACAGTTCCAATTTTATAATCTATGTCAACTCGTCAAAGTAGGTCTTCTTTCGCATAAATTCATTCAAAGAAACAAAAATAAAATGACGAGATAAATTTAAGAACAGCAAAAATAATCTAATTATAGCAAGATCTAATTTACTAACGTAAAGAGGAGGGTAAAAAAAAATTGTTACACACAAGAAAAGTGGAAAGGAAATACTAATATCGAGGATCAAAATTCTTATTCGGGACAGAAAAAAAAAAAAAATCTGGTACTAGTCTACTAGACAGCAGTTATCCTGCATTTTCGCAACGTCAAGGCATCTCGCATGTTAAAACGTCCGAGAGATAAGAAGATATCAAGGACACGCGATTACGAAAGGCAAAACTTGGCGGTTCTATCTTGTTCCTGTATATACAAAAAAGGTCTTTTCCGAGTATAATTCTCTAAATATAAAGAATTCTATCGGGTTCACTTCGTGCGGGGTCGCGCTACAAGTTTTTCTTTTTTTAAATTCGTTTTATTCAACGCCGATTGCCGCTGTTAGTAACAGAGTAGTAATAGATTTTTAAGTGGAAGCCATACTCTAATCTGAAAAATTTTAAATGTAATAAATCAATAGTTACACAATTTAAAATAATAATAATAAAGGGTAAGTTTCTCCCGACACTCGTAAATTTCGTTTTATGAAGATTGCAGTTGTTGACTTTCCGAAGCACGTGCCCTCTTTCTCCATTTTTTTCCCACGTGTAATAAACTTGGAAATACAGTATTAAATAATAATAAACAAGACATAGACGAGCTTATCATTACTAAGTAATTTAGATTCTGTTTTTCTACGAAGCAAAACGAAATATAGTAGTAAAAAAATGGTTTTCTGGATGTTTTAACAAACATGTTTTTCCTATTAGAATTGCGGTTAATGTTACATCAAAAACTTGTTTTTATATCGAGTTATATACTATTATTATTATTTTTTATGTAATCTATGGGTTTACTTAATTCTGCCCCATAACACAAAAATTATGAAATTAAAAACAAAAATCCGCTTGGGGGCTCGTATTATCTCATTCAGATGATACGAGCCCCAATCTAAATCGGATATTTAAAAATTTCATATTAATAATGTTTAATAAACAATCATAGCAATTGTTATAAGAGCTATAATAATTATTGTATTTTTAACGCAAATAAAAGTTTATTAAATTTAGATTCTATAATTAAAAAAACTTCGAGGAAAAAAAAACTCCGTTTGGGACCGTCGTCGCGTCGTGTTGATTGCAATTCATTCACTTGAATATTTTAAATTATAAATCAAAAAGTTTAAAAAATTGTAGGTTAAAAATATAATTAACCAATCACTAATTTTTTTAATAATCAAATTAATAATAATACAGTTACATTTTTAAAATCTAAATAGAAAGATTAATTATAATTCGGTTCTATAATATAAAAAAAAAAGTCCGCTTGGGGACTTATTATTTAAATCGTCTGAAACAGTTAATACAATAATTAGATCGAAAATTTTAAGATTTCTAGGTTAAGTGTGGTTAATTAATTGGGAGTGTTTTTTTAATCTGAGTTATAATAACACAATTATTTTTTAAATATAATTAAAAGAGTTTACTCAATTCGGACTCCATAACACGTTAGTTACGAAATTAAATTCCGCTTGGGGCATATTATTCTTCACGAAATGAAAGCAAGCTGCGAAAAATGACACGTGGTCAAGCACCATAATTTCAAAATAAATAAATAAAAATAAAGAGAGAAAGTATACTTAAAGCGAAACTTCCGAGCATGACCTTCGATAAGGAAAACTTTTTTTTTTAATCGAAATCTGAATCACAGCTTTACAGGAAAATTTTAAGTAAACAAAATGTTAAAAACCCATGAGTATAAAGTGATTTTATATTAAAAGATATTTTAAAAAATCCTAGTTAATATAAATTTACTACGAATAACAAAAAGATTTTATCACAAAATATCAAGGACGATAATTAAGTTTATTATTGATGTTTATCTGGCGGCCATTTTCCTTTAAAAGTATCATTATGTTACTTAAGTAGTCGTATTATGAAAAATATACATGAATAAATTACAGCTAACAATAGGTTACTAACTTAAGAATGAATCAAATATAACAGGAAATTGTATCCGTGTTACTTACGAATAATTACTATTTACGTGTAATTATTACTACGCGATTACAACTGTCAAACCGCAGGACTTCGACGACGATGCAACAATATCTTGCGTATACCGAAGCAACTGACAATAATTAATTAATGTAAGGTTTTCCATACAGGATACAGAAAAACCTATGCAGCGTATCGAATTTAATACTGCATACCCCCAAAAACAACACATTAAATGTCCAAATATTAAATTAATACAGTGGTGAAATATAGAAAGTATTTAGAAGCTGCAGTGAGTCGAGTATCAGAAAATAATTAAAGTTTATCAAAATTATACAAAAATTTAAAATAGACCCTCCCACTAAATCAATAAAGGAAGTTAAATCCAGTTAAAAAGTCAAATGAACTTTCGCTTTCGATCTCCAAAACGACACAAAAACACAAATAATTTAACGATTAAAAACTAAAAATAGAACCTTTGAATAAATTAAAAATTACCGAGAATGATTGTACAGTATACTCTAGATTTTTTCCCTCTTCCCTAGGAAATTCCAACTAATGTTTAACGATGTTCCGCGAGTCACCACCCCTCCATCCGCTGACGTCACGGGCAGACGGCCGATGACGTCAGGGCGGGGTATATAAATCAATCCCGTCTGTGTCAGCCACCTGTTTGATATGTTCGCTACTAGCCGACAGTTAAAGTCCGTCATGCGTTCCGAGATGATGTCTGGTGTTGTCGTGGTGGAGAGACGACCCAAACCGGCCGAAAAAGTTTACGTCAAAGTTTACAAGACGAACTACGAACATTTCGCAGTTTTGTATCGTCTCCGTGGTGTCCTGACCGAGAGTTTACCCCTAGCGACCGTGAATTTGAGGTCGTGTATTGTTAAAATACAGAACGGATGTTCGTTTCACGTGAGGCCAAGATCGGGCGATGATCAAGGTATGACTTTCTCCGTTTTGGATGATGATAATTTGGATCGTTGGCTCGTCGCCTTCCATGCCGAGATGAAACCCAACAGGACGACTTTGCCCATTTTGATGGAGAGTGACGAAGAGGAACAAGAGACTACACATTGTTCTTCTCCTATTTCCACTGTTTATAGACAAAAGGTTTGTTAAGATAATTAACAAGAGAATTCTTCCTCATCTCTTGTTGAATCTCCTTATGGACTGATTGACAGCATTTCCATTATGTACAGTAATTTAAATGTTCATGCATTTTATATAAAATTTCTCATTATGTGATTCTTGAGTATGTTTTAGTTTCTGTGAAACTTTGTTTTGTTGATAGAGTATATATTAAAAGTGTGTGATTTTTTTTTTTCAAATTTGTTTCCTTTTCTTTCTTGGTCAAGTTAAAGTCCGGTTTTAGTTTATCACTTGAGTATGACATAAGAGCCATTGACGTAAAGATACAAATCAGATTAAAATCTGAGTGTTTAACCGGTTGTTAATTAATTAATTTATAAGAATGTCTATTGAAAGAAGTAACACATTAACCTCATTCTGTAAGAACAATTGGTAAAGCGTAACTAGATTTCTCTGTATGCGACTGGAAAATAAGTACGCTGCCTAGCATACTTATTTTTGGTTAATTTTTTTCTTTATTAAATGATATTTTAATTGCCAAAATTCTGTATTCTCATACCGTGATCTACTGTGTGCAACGGTTTAACGATGCAGTACATGAATGATAGAATATTCCGATACATTCGGTTAAAAAAAAGACATTTTAAAGAGAAAAAAACTGAACAGGTTTTAATTAGGTTTAGTGAATGATTTACAAAATCATAATAAATAAGTAAATCACTGTATTTTTATTATATTAAACTGTCAGTATAAAACACTAACTGCACATCATGGAGTTTTTGTCGGCGGTTCTAATAAAGAGCTGGGACCGGCCATGTATTCCTCCGGTTCTTCCTGATCGCTGATGTATTCTTCAACTTGGGAAGCATCTCTGTACTGTCCGCCATCAGGTTTAGGATTTGATGGTTTCGAAGCTAAGGTCTGATATATGCCCATTGCCTAAATTTAAAAGATAATGTGAAATTAATTTCAAAATATGTACTTTTACCCTTTTTGTTGAATCATTCATACTGTAGAGAGTATAAAAGTTTACATGGAATCAAGATTTAAAAATTAAATGTATTTAGTTATAAAATATATTTTTCTTAAATAATAAACCCTTTGACTTATTGACAACAAATATTTGTTTAGTTCAGTAACAAAAAAAAGTAAGAAATAAACAAAAATTTACAAGAGGCGCAAGCAGATAAGTCGGAAAACTTCCTAATGCCTACTTATTGTGCAACTCCCGCGTTATTGCATAACTGCAACTATTTACATTATGTAGAAGGAGAGAAAGCAAAAGAAAAAAAAACAATCTTGGTAAAGGTCCTTGTATTCAATTTAAAAATTTATTCCTTCTCGAGAGGCTACTCGTTACTAGATAAACCTATCCGTAAATTTTTGGTAGTTAATTATTTAATTAATTAATTTTTCTGGTAAAAAATGAAAGTGCAACCTGAACTTTTATTGCACAGCTGGTGGTCTACTGTTACATCATAAAATTATTACAACAGTTGTATAATTTGACTAAACTTAAGATTGCGCACCGACTACAAAATCATTTTACGAGAATTCCGGCGCATAATCAAATTACGACATCCCCGGTCACTAAACAAGTCTCGTAGTAACATTAAACGTGGACAATTTTTATCTCTAGATATTGGATATGTGATTATTTTATGAAGAGGATGGGGGGAAAAGTATTGTTTTATTATCTCATAAAAAAATAAATTCTTTCATAATCTTTTATGATAGCTTATTAAGGTCAATAATTTATTTCCCTTTATACATGGATACTAGTATTAAATGCACATAATATTTAATTAAATTTATCAGCAGACATACCTGAGCTACCATTCCCGAGACATCGCCGGTGTTTGTCGGAAGAATCAACGTGTTTCCTGTTTTTGCTAATTTTCCAAAAGCGGAGACGTATTTCTCGGCAATTAACAGAGAAGCTGCATTACTTCCAGTCTAAAAAAGAATTTTAAAATATATTTTATACATTTCTTTTTTAAAAAATAAATTATGTTATATTAAATATTTTAACATTATCATCGTAACACAGCACGAGTACTCTAAATTCCATTAATGTAACTTTCAATTTAAAAAGAAAAGCAGGAACCGAAGGATTAAACACGGTCTTAGTACCAGAATTTAATTTTATTAGTAAAAAATTTGAGACAAATTTGTATAAATTCGGTTTCATTTATTCACTTTCAGCTTAAGAATGACAGCACTGACCTTCTATTGTAAGCTACTTGACCATCAAAAAGTCATGAAAGCTTTTAAATCTTTTTTAAAATGGAACTTTTATCACTTTTCAATGGTCAACTAGCTTACAATGGAAGGTCAGTTCTGTCGTTGCTAACCAAAATTTGCTTTCTCGGTTTCTGTAACTGTGCTGAGGAGACTCCCGAGAATGCAACACTTGCAGCTGTTCCGACAGACTTATCAGTCTTGATTTATAATTGTTTCGAATGTGGTGGCATCTGCCGATACTCCTTTAGGGGTCTATTATTGATTCTGTTGTTTTGGAGATTGCTTGAAGTAATTCAAGAATAATGTTTAATGAAAGTTGTCATTTGAATATTGTACTTTAAATCATTTTATATATAAAAACATTTGTAAACAGTACATTCAAACTATAAAGCTTTTCAGAATCAATTTTTTTTTTTTTTCATAAATTTAGAGCTTTTGAATGAAACAATGCCATCAAAACTGGTAAATAATATGCAAAAAAGCCTCTTAAACTGTTATAATCAGATTTTACGATCCAATTACGAAAACTTACAACAATTTTTTTTTAAATATCCGACCTCCTATGATCTGCGGTTATCACATTTCAGGTTATTCACCATATGAGTGATGCAACAAATCAAGGTAGGTCCAATTTCAAGTGAATGAAATATAGAGAAAACAAAATAATTAACAATAATATTATTTTTTTCTTGTTAAATATCGATGTAAGAATTCAAACTGGACCGGCATTTCGTCGTTAACAATCTTTAACTAATGTATTTTATAATTTTCCAATTAATCCTTATATAAACAAAAATTATCAGCAGATAAACAGCATTACTTGCAGAAAAAAAGCATAAAATTTATGAATTGTTGTTATTGTAATTACTAAAATTAACTCAGCAATATTTAAATGTTAAAGATGTTATTGATATAATATAAACATGTAAAGAATGATGCTACATCGTCTGATAAAACCAATTTAAGCACTTACTTTTTCGTAACTAATCGCTACTTAGCTGTTTAATTATCGTCATTAATTATGCTTCTAGTCATTAGCATATTATCTCTCCAATTATAAGTATCATTTAACATGACAATTAATTTCTTACCTGTTCCCTTAGTGATTCTGCGACCTTCTTTAACGATTTGGCTCGTGCTTCGGCCTTTGCTACTATAGCATTTGCTTCTCCTGTATTAATGATAATAATACGCTCTTTAATATTGCAAATTAGTTAAATTTATAAGATTATAATCTAATCGCATTGGTAATTTTGGCAAATCTGTTCTAACCTTGAGCTTGATTAATCTGTTCCATTTTTTCTGCCTCTGATGCCAAAATCCGAGCCCTTTTCTTACCTTCGGCAACATTGATCTCCGCTTCTCTTACACCTGGAGCAGAGAAACATTTTGATTCTTAAAATAAAATGCTCCTTGCAATGTTTTATCTTTATTATAATAATTTTTTTTTATTTAATAACAGTGAATTATCATATTAAGGCACCATTGTTACATTGGGTATGATATAGAATACATTTTATTGCAATTTCATTTAATTATTTCTGATAAACAACAGCAATTTTTACTCATAATCATATGACTATACGTAATACTTTGTAATGTAATTTTACATTTATAAATTTTCCATTCGGTTAGTAATAAAAATTTATTGAGGAAATTTATTTCCTGTAACATTCTTTTTATATGACTTGAAATATTGTAAGCAAATAATATGGATGATGAATAAGCAATTTTCATTTAAATTCGAGCGATCACACGCTTGCAATCCCTTTATATAACTGCTCTGCGACTGGCATAATAATTTTTTAAATTTAATACATTTTGTATATTTATGTATTATAAAAGCCGAGACATTTTTACAACAATTTACGATCAATTTAAGTAAAAAAAATGCTTGAAAAATATGAAGATAAAAGCTTTTGAAACCAAATCTTATCTTCACTAAACAATCCAAAGATGACATTTGATCTTAAAAAAATATGTTTTCAATAAACTTCTATATTTTAAGAAGATTTTTGACTTATTTTCATGTCAACATTGCTAAAATAAGTGCTTTAGCATTTTAAATTGCAAATTATGAATTAAATATCAATGTTAATCAGACAATTCTTCGAAAGTTTTAGTCACAACGGTGATTTAATAATTGAATAAACTTTCCAATCTACCTTAAAGTAAATAAACCCACTTTATGTTGTTTAAGGTACAGTATATATAATTTCCCATTTTCATGAAAGGAGTATATGGACTGGATAAGGTTGAGAACCACTATTCTAAACCGTGTATGAATAAATATGGAGACTTTCACAGAAAAATTAATGTCTCAATTTATGTAAAAAGTAGAATATAGATCTAAAAAATCAAATATCATATAAACAAATTCTTTCTTCAAAGATCAACTTGGTTATTGTTTGTTATTTGTATATGGCAATGCAACTCGCGAGCAATCCGCTGAGATGGGATGCCTTCCGGGAGAACTATCTACGGGAAACTGGCCACTATTTAGGTGTTACAAACACAAAGAAAATCGAGAAAACTCCACATGGCCAGCCTGTCGGCAAAGTGCAAACCCATGACCAACTACAGTGTTCAATGGTTTTATCAACTCAGCCACTGGTGAGCACAGATATTAATTGCAGGAATTAAATGAATAACTATGTAGAATTCACTCTAATTTATAAGAAATGTATTTATTGCTTGATAAATGCTTCATTACTGTATATCTATTTTATTTTATTTTATAAAAAAATCTACAGGATTTTTATTGTCTTAAAAATAAGAGTTTTGAAAAACATGTTATAATTTTAAACAAAGATAAAGCAATATGTAGACCATTTATGATAGTTCACAAGGAAAATATCATAACAGTAAAGCAACAGAAACAATAAATCATAAAACTTATCATTGTTTACATATTTAAAGTAATTTGTTGAACAAACAATAACATAACTCAAGCAAAACAACAAAACCAAGGTTCATTAAACTCAGTACAAAAAGAAAATGATGAGATCAATTTGAACAAATCAACTAAACATTATATAACAGCATCATAGCTTTGTTTAGGTTCTTACCTAAACAAAGCTAAACAAGTTTTCTATTCTTAGCATCTGTCTTTAGAAAGCAATATCCGAGCATTTCCAAAACATCCCGGAAGTCTCACTCCACTATAGAGTAATAAATTTTTATACGACTTAATCTAGCCAAAAACATTAATTTCTTTCAATAATTATCACTGGTAAATGTAAATATATGTGCCTTTAAGTAGTGTCTGGTTAAGTAAACAAACCTTCTTAATTTTTTTTTTTCTTTAACCTTCCGGTAATAATTCTATCTAAAGATTGATTCAATAACTATAGCTCCTTATAACCTGCAATGGCCTGTAACCTGTAAAAAACTGCTATAATTGCAAAAATAAAACTTTTGCTCATCACTTACGACAGCAGCCATTGCTCCATAGATGTGAGTTTGTAATTGCAATTTAAAATCAGTGTATAACCATCCCCATTGCATAACTTACACCCTTTTCCAATAGTCTTTTAAACTCGCAGATTATACACACAGAAGTACAGTACTTCCCTGTTTCAAAAATCTCAGAAGTTATAGAATGTCTTAAATTATAAACGTTTATAATATTTAATATCTTAATAAGATATTGTTTATGAAATTTATATGATTGTTAGAATTTAATATTAACTCTAAAATAGAAGGAAAAGTAATCTCTATATAACTTTGTTAAATATATTTATTCAGGATGTAATTTGAATACAAAGCTTTAAAATAAATAATTTTTCTGTAATATATATATATATATATCCACTTCATAATATAACTTTCTTTTATTATTTAAAACCAAGATTTATTATTATTAAATTGAAAAATTCAATAATATTCAAGACATTGCTTAATATTATCTGGAAAGCATTTCCTTATTAACTGAAGATATTTGATACGTTTAAAGATGTCCTACATTTTTACAGTAAATGATCTTCCAGATTATTTTTCCAATAGTGAAATATAAACGAAAGATACGTCATAAAACATTACGGACAGCTTTTTAAAAAAATTTATTGACGCCTCGACCGATAGAAAATTTTAATGCTCGTTATTGTAATTATTACCGTAACAAAAGAGCAAATTTATACTACCGATAAATATATAATTTATAATGTTATTTGAAACATTATTTCATAAATGATACATTTATTTAGTTAAACTTTACCTTCTGATTCTAATACAGCTGCTCTTTTCTTTCTTTCGGCTTCGACTTGCATCTGCATCGCTTCTTGAACTCTTTCAGGCAATCTGATATCCCCTGAAAAAATTTAATATATTGGACGTATATGACGATTTGTATGTCAAATAACAACTAGCTACTTAATCATTTGATTGATTAATTATTAATAATTTTATGGCGATGATGTACTTAATTTGGAACATCATTTTAATGCATAAAAATTTACCCAAATGACTGTAAAATTTTCATATAAATACGGAAATATGCACACACTTCTGCTATTATGATTTATTACATTATCGAACGTCTGCACAAGTATATTTGGCAGTTCGATTGTGCTTCTTTTGAGTGAAAGAATATGGTACACCATAGTAAATTCACGGCACTAATAAGTTCGATAAATCAGATATAAGAAAACTGATTAAAATGTATAAAGCAGATCAAACTAAGATGCAAGAAATATAATTAGTTACCTTGTACATAACATTATAAAGTTTATGGAAAATATAACAGCAGAAAAGTATGTAATTGACTGATACTTTATTATACTTTACAATTCTTGTAATCAAATTTTTTACTTTTTGTTGTTGCTGTTGTTTGTTTTTGGCATTTCCCCCCTTTTATATATTGTCTATTAAAGGTTTTTATGTTAATATGGGGGATGAAATCTGCTGTCGTAGGACATTTCCTAATTGTAAATAAAATAAATAAATAAAGATATATGTTTCATTATTAATACATCTGATATGTGTTGATATAGATGTAAAAAGCTTTTTACTAATTTTATAATTATATTATATATAAGCATCACTTATTTTTTCATGCTGCATCCCAAAGTTAATAAATCTAGATAACGCAATACATAAATATTAATTAACAAGTGATATTGCTTTTGAGTTCTCTCAATTCTGTGCCCAAACTAATACATCTGTATAATGACCTTTACAATTGTTAAAAATAGTTATTAGAATCAAATTACAATTGATTCGTGTGAATTAGTATTTGATTACTTTCGAGATAGATTTTTAACTGAGACTGTATGTGATAGCGACAATTTTCCCCACTTACTAGTTTTCTCGTGGTAGTTTTTCACCAAAATTAATTTACTTAGCTGCACTTCCATGATATGCTCACGTTACATGTTATCCATCTATGTAAAAATTTCAGTCAAAAAAATTTTTCCGCTTATTTCAGGCCGTCAAAACATGCTACAAAAATCATGTACAATTTTTTTTTCACACGCTTGCATGCTTAACATGATGATTTTTCACTCTGACATAATTTTTCAATGGTGTCATTCATGGAGGTTTCCAAAAATTCCACAAAAGGGAGTCATGACATCATGAAAGTCACTACAACCTTCAACTATTTAAATTTTTTCGTAGCTTTCTCTTGTCGCTGAAAAATACAGAAAAATCATTTGCTGGTCCTTCTGAGAAACATCTCAACTCTCCCATCATTTCCAGCTGAACTTGTTTTACATTATTCCATACTATCGTAAAATTGAGGTGGCTTCCTTGGAAGAAGGGTTACTAGATATTGTTCTGTAAACAAAACAATATCTAGTAAACTAAACAATGTATGACCTCAAAATTTTGCACATACAGAGAAGACACATCACAAGATTTTTCAAAATCATCAAATTAAAGGTACAACAATTACAATGCAAAATAATTGCGTGTGAAAAATCAGCAGAAAACCCCGTCTTTTGTATACAGCAGCACTAAACAGAAACTGCCTGTCATCGTGAGTTAATGATAGTAGTTTTTAACAATGTAACTAATACACTTAAATATTATTTTATAAAAAGTTTTAACTTAACAATTCACTAAAATATAGCACAATTATTCTATAATTCTACTGTTTTGTCTGCATTACAGAGATAACTGATTTAAATTTAAAAGTATCATACATCACAAATGACGAGGCTATACAGAAATTGCAGAATTTTGCAAGTTATTATGAATTAAAACTTGATCTTGATATATAAATAAATTCGTTTTGAATTTTAATGCAGTTAAAACATTCTAAAAATAAAAATCCCATTGTCATGAATGACCTAATATTTTTGTAGCAAGTTTTTAAGCAGCCACTTAAAGTGAGATATGACTTTGCATTTATATTTTGTAAACAAATCACTCTTTAAATTTAAAATAAACACATTTTTTTTTATTTATTTTTTAATTATAATTAAATAAAAATACATTTTTGCCCATCTTCAGATTAGTACAGTCAAACTGCAGCCCCACACAAAATTAAAATAAAGGTGTAGCTACACACAGGGCACTAAATAAAAGGGATGATAAATATTCTGCAAGTTTATAATATATTTGGATTATAATCTTTATTCCTTTTTTATGCAATAACTTTTATCAGAAAATAGGTAACTATATATGCCATTTTTTATTATTAAAATTAACATTTATATACTACAGTACCGAACCAAATATCTGGTAAGCTTGGGACGACTGGAAGCAGTCCATATTCCTGGATTTTCCAGTTTTCTAACTGTAGAATATACATATATACTTCTTAAAATATAAAATAAAAATTGAAAAGTAAAGAAAAAAAATTGTATTTAACAGATACAAATTAATTCACTTCTAAAGCAGGATCTGTTTGACCATTAATCCTCTTAAAATGTAGAATACGACATATACAGGAGAAAAATCACACTTAACCAGCATTAAAAACATGTATTTATTAAAAATTTGCAAGTACTTTTGAAGCTTTGTCTCCCCACAAAAATCTAACAATAATTTTAAACTTAAACATAAATGCAATATTTCTTTTTTAAATCAAATAAAGGCATGAGGTTGGAATATCAAATATTCAATAAAAATTTGAACAGTCTAATAAAATAAGAGGCACATGAAATTATCACGAACGATATAAATCCCCAAGTATAAAGATCTTTAGAGCATCTACAACACGAATTGTTTAAATAATTCTACCACTGATATTCCGCATTTACGGGTAAAACTGGAACTGGTGTTGTTCAACACACACACCACGGAAACTAAAGCAAAGTGGCTACTTAGCAAACTATAGCTACATTATAGCCAGTCAAATTCAAAGATTAGCCAGTATTCTGGTAATTCTGAATTTCTAGAAGTCGGATTTTTGGTATGATACTGTGGAATTAGTACTGTTTCTATATTTCAAAGCTGAAGATGACTAAAAACGTTTGTTATATAATTGTAATTATTGCTGCATTAATTAAAAGTCGCTATTTATTCTAAAACCAAACGACTGCCAGATTTAAATCGGGCTACTTTACCGCTACTATTAATAATTAAATAACGAGTAATTTGGTACTAGAGGTAGGCGTTATGCACCATCTCTTATTCTATTTTTTAAATTTGTTATTTAACAAATTTTAACTTTCCTATCTTCCAGATAAAATTTGTTCATAAAACATAAATGCAAAGTCATATCTTACTATTCACTGTTTAAAAACTTTAAAACTTGCTATAAAATTTATTTGTCCAATCGTGACAATGCAATTTTATTTTTAGAATGTTTTCAGGGCATTAAAATTTAAAACAAGATTATTCGGATATCGAAACTAAATTTTTATCCATCTCAGAAACGTTTCCGAACTTTCTGATTCGTGTAAAGTCGAATTTAAATACAAATAAAAGTTGTTTTGGTTTTAAATATCGTTTCGGAATCATCACTTCTCTGAATGAAAATTTTAAATTGGAAAACAAAGTGCCATAATAAATATAAAGAAATACTATTCTGTTAACGTATCACAATGCAAAGTATAAGGATTAAATAAATTAATATAACTGCATCATTATCAGAACATTTATTTTTAAATATTAGCATAAAATATATAAATAACATCCAGAACCAAAAATCCAGCACAATCTAGAACAAAGTATGAGAGGAAAACAAACATTTTCAATTGCTTTGAGTAACCATCTTCAGGTTAAAATAACACACTCGGACTGAAAGAGAAATGGGACACTACAGTTTAAAATACAAAAATAATGACGTTTAATTCTGTGTGTGTTATTTATATATTAGATCTAGTATACAGCATGTACGGTACATTACATACTTTCAATAACTTATGTCTAGTTTGTGTACTAATTCCAATAGTGTGAGTAATATAATAAATATACTGTGTATTCAAATATCATCCAACCTTTAATATCCAAAAGATAATTTTAAAATGAATGTTTTCGGCTACTTTTAGCAACCATCTTTAAGTCACAATTCAAAATTTTAAGATCTAGAACATCGGTGCGTGCAACTCTATCACACGACATCAAAAACTTGAAAATTAATTCAAACAACATATNTTGCTGAGCGGCACTTCGATTCTTACGAAGACGTCCGAAAATGGCTTGATGAGTGGTTTGCCTCGAAAGAGAAGAAATTTTTTTGGCATGGTATCCACACATTGCCCGAGAGATGGAACAAATGTGTCACTAGTGAGGGAAAGTACTTTGAATAAATTTGTTTTTGCTTTCTAAGAAAAAAACACGTGTTTTTCTGACTAAAAAACAGCGGATTTAAGCTTATACACCTATGTAAATAATTTAGAACTACTGGAAGAAAAATCGGCTTGGAATGGGACTCAAACCCACAGCTCCTGCTTACCATGCAGATGCATTGCCAGTTACGCTATCCGGACCTCCAGTCCGATCTCCTCTTCCAGTATATATAAGCTTACGTTATAACCATTAATGGTTATTACAATGCTGGCTGGGGATGCATCCAGTGCCCACATCCTGTAAACATCTTCCAAGGCACTCAACCGGCCATCGCAAACCCCAGCAGGCGTAAATATATATAACATCGCTAGACCCAATATCGGGTCTAGCAATGTTATACAGCAAAAACGATTTAATTATGAAAGTTTTAGTCATATTTAAATACCATCTTCAGGTAAAATACAAAATCAAACAAAGCAAACCATGGAACATAGCAGAAAAATTCCACATGCAGCAGGGTCGCAATTAAATTGTTTTTGTTGCTTACAAAGGCTTCTCAAGTGTCTGAATATCCACAGTTGTAGTTTCAATTTCTTACATTAATCTACTAAATATTTATATTGTGTAAGAAATTTTAAATTTCTACATTCTTGTTTGTCGGACTTTACCATGAACACACTCAAATTTTTCATTAGCAGGTTTTTAAGCAAATTATATAATTCCATAAAATGTGAGACAAAATATAACACTGTAATCAATTAAAGAGTCCAGAATTTATCCAGATTTAAACAATTTTGAGACTACATATCCATCTATACAAATTAGAACAAAAATGTCAAAGACATGTTTCTAAAGCATTCGAGCATTCAAACTTTTAAAGTAATGTTTGAAACTTTCAAATGCTCAGATGTTTTAGAATGCATTTAAAATATTTTTGTTCCAATTTATATATGGGATGTATCATACCAAGAAATGTTTAAATCAGAATAAATCTTGGATTCCTTAATTGATTATAGCATTATAATTTCTTCTCATTAGTAGATTTTTTCCGCATTTATAATACGTACTCTCAGGTCTAGATTGAAGGAAGAAAGAGAGTATGGAATGAGAAAGAGGAGAAAAGATCCCAATAAGATACTGTGCAGATAGGATGAATCAGAAAAAAATTGCTCACAAAGGATGATAACTTCAGCATCTATACAGAAATAAGCCTGTTTCCTTCATAACTTGTGTGTGGAAATGGTAACAAAGAAATATAAAAATTTAAAATGAGCAATTATTTTTTGTAATGCTGTCACAATGCCGGACTGCAATTTTTTGTCTCGATGCTCTCAATTTTAGTAATGTCTTGTCTCTGTGTGTCATACTTTCCCTGTTAATAATGGAGTTATGCCGGTAATCTATTTCCATTCAGGAGAAAACTTTTTTAATTGAAGTAACGTGACTTCTGATCTCGACTCGAAGTTCATATATAGTTAACTAGGGCCTCCTGCTCCTAAGCTTTCCATATCTGGTCTTGACTTTCATCTATTAAACTTTGTTCTTGAGATTAAAGGACAGAAGGAATTTATAAAACTAGTTAATTTATAATAAAAATGACCAATCTGAAGATGAATTACATTGAGACTCATCTGTATCAATCTTTTAAAAAGAAATGTATCTATGCAAATAGCTCTTAATTAAAAACTACTAAATATTCAGATGTTTAAGAAACCTTTGCAAACAGTAAAAATGACCAATGCCGAATTCTATCAGGCTAGATATGGCTAATTATTAAATAAATTATGCAACCAATTTAGCACTAGAGGTAGGTGTTAGGCGCCATCTCTTAATAACTTTAATAATTATAATTTTAATTAATTAATTTACCAGGTGTATAAGCTTAAATCCGCTGTTTACTAATAAATGGCGTAAGCAAGCATATTAAGTTACCATGACGACGCCATATTGTTTTTTTTGATGATTTTGACGTCTGTCAACATTAATCAGTGCACATCATCAGATATTTCATACAACAACATATATTTTTTTTTGTAATCATGTCTACTTTTGTGCCAGAAAAAGAGCATATGCGGCAAGCTTTGCTTTTCTGCTTTAATTTGAAGAAATCGGCTGCCAAAGTACATTGAATGCTTGTGGAGGCTTACGAAGACAGAGCTTTATCGGAAACCACGTGCAGAAATTGGTTTCGTCAATTCAAAGATGGAAATTTTTACCTGAGCGACAAAAAGCGTGAAAATCGGCCCAGGAAGGTTGAGGACCATCAACTGCAGGCTCTTTTGGATGAGGACAATACCCAATCGCAAAAAATGCTTGCCGAGCAATTGGGTGTTACTCAACCAGCCATTTCCATGCGTCTACGTGCCATGGGAAAGATTCAGAAGATCGGAAAATGGGTGCCGCATGAATTGAACGATAGGCAGATGGAGCGACGCCAAAACACATGCGAAATCTTGCTCGCCAGACAAAAAAGAAAGTCGTTTCTGCAT